TGAAAATGTTGAAGAGATTTTCTGAAAGCTTTCTAAGATTAGCTTTATAATGGATTCTTTAGATTAAAAAAAAAATAAATCCAGGTTTTAAGTAAGCATTGCTTTTATGCAATGTGTCAGTAAGAACAACACTATTAACCAAGTCAGGCTACTACCAGTTTTCATACCAGTCATTTTATATTTAAGTTATATTTATCATGTGCTGAATGTCATACACACATGGGAGGATGCTTGTCTTTTCCTGAAAATCTTAGTCACTTGCAAAGAAAAAAGCATTTTATTAGCTGAAGGCCGAATAGGCCCTTCAAACATCTGCACACTGTTAAACAATCCAGAAAAGCCCTTCTCCACAGTCACTGAGCCTTTTGTTTTTAAAGATCAACCTCCTCAATCTGGAGCTAGGAAAGGACTTATTTTTGTACTTGTACCACAGAGGAGAAAAAGGAGCAGCTTGTTAGTAGCTCTCATTTGGACTGTAGTCACTGCAGCCTCACTAAGATCTATTGCATTTCTTCATCTCAGGAGAGGGAGGAACACCTCGTTCCCCACATCCAAGCCTCTTCATTTAAAGAAATAAATACTGAGCTGGAAATCCAATAAAATGAACTCCCTCCCCTTTTAATTCCCATCAAATACAGAGAGAAAAAATGCGAGAAGGTATAGGTGAAAAAATAACAGCTTACTGACAAGGAAATAGCAGCAAAAACAATTCCAACAGAACGGTTCAAATCAACGACAGAGAGAGAAATTGCTCCTGGTCCCCCTGCCCTTGCACTCCCTTTTGTATACAGACAAAACCAATGATCAGTATGTGCTTCCCTGCCCCGCTTTCCTCCCCGGGAGAACAAAGAATGAAAAGTAAAACGAGGGAAAAGAGGGGAGGCAAAGCAAAATCTGGAGAGCCAGTTCATTCCAGTGGGGCGTTGTTCTGCTGGAATGATGGCTCGGCGATGGCAAGGACTGACTCTCGCCCTGCCCACAGCGCAGCGCTGCTGGACTGCAGCGCTATCCCGGGCTCTCCGGTGCTCTCCCGCCGGCAGCGGGTGGTTCGGCAGCAGATCCAGGCTTGGTGGGAGTAGTGGGGTCCAGCGGGCCCAGGAGTGGTGGGAGCAGCGGCCGAGACCCCAGCAAAAAGACGGCGTTGCGTGGGCTTTCTAAGCACCAGCCTCCTGTGGTCTACGGAAGAGAAGTAGTTTTGTTCTCCCTTTAGGTCTTTCTTATTTCTTCCCTTCCCTTTCCAGCTCAGGATGGAAGGGGGAGCGGGGCGGGGAGAGGGACGGGGGTGGGTTCGTTCTTAAAGACGCAGTCCTCTGAAACAACGCTGAAAAAAAGGGAATAAAATACAAAAAACCCTCCCATAACGTTGACACAAGCGCAGTCCCAGGTGCTGCTTTCCTACTCTGTCAATAGACATTTCTATGCCAGTAGGACTGACAGCAATGGCTTTCTAATGACGGCATTTCCCCTAGTGCCCTGTGTTTTCTGCCTTCAGCCCATTTGTGACAGAAGGAATAATTGTATGGAGGACCTGGGGTGGTGGAGGAAGGAAGCAAGAACTCAAATTGTTGCCTGTTGAATAGCTGGACAAAAAGTGTCCACCATGCAGCATTGTTTTATTTAGGCTTGGTATGGTTATTTTGATCACGGAACTATTTTGCCACTCTTGTGGTGATACAGTGACAATCAATGCTTATCCAGCATCCAAGTCCACCTGTATCCATGTATTGATAGCAACCATTAATCCTTGACACAAAACCTTAGGAGGTAAGGCAAAAAGGAGGCACAGGATACGATCACAGAGGCCACGCAGCCTCTTCTAGAGACAAGGAGGCTAAGAGCTACCCACGAAGTACTTGAAGGACAGAGCCAAACTCTTTTCAGTAGTGACTGTACCAAACAGGGAGGGCTTGTCTGCACTTATGCTGTAGCTGTCTGTGCTATCCTGTCTCCTGGAAAGACCTTGAGCCTATGTTATAACCTTGTCTCTGGCCCTATCTCCTCACCGAGCTGTCTGGATGGACCCTGAAGCTGGTTCATCATGTAACCTGGTTAAAGGCTATTAATGGACACTGTTCAAGTTCTGTGGGACTGTGCCAGAGGGGTGGAAGCTTGAAGGCACTTCTTGCACTGTGATGACCCTCAGTCCCTGCTTTGTCCTTCCTTGGAGAGTAGTTTCTTCCCATATCCATTGTTGATTCTTGATGTTTCATGGACCTCTGTTTTTACAGCCAGAATTGACCAATTGTACAATATACTCAGACTTTCTCTTCAGGGAAAGGAAGATAAAGGTTTGCCTTTATCTGGTTGAATCTTTGACAGTAGTAGCCTCTCACTGACTGACTCTATTTAAATGCTTCTGGGGACTTCTTCACTTCAGGTATTTCCCTTGGTTAAATAGAAGGTGAGGCTCAAATCATGCTGGATTTCTATTTAGAAGTTTTAAGACTTTAAGTTAGTCAATTACTATATTGCAGAATACTTTATATTTTAAATTATATTTATTACAGGATGATTTCTGTTTGTTTTGAATTTTGCCACTTCATGCTATAATTCCTCTTATGGTTAAAAAAACACACACAAAATCTTACTCAGTAGCTGTTGCTGCAATTGGTTTGAGCATTGCAAACAGTCCTTATTCCTTCATGAGAGTGAGTCTGGATGCCCAGCAATTGCTTAAATGTAACATTAACCATTTGGCTGCTGATCAAAGATGTTTGAAAGCAGAGGAAATCTGCAAATTTCCAAAGCAGAATTAACCTGTGCTGAATGAATTATCATATTGGTGTCATGAAGCACTGATGCCTGAGGAAATTCAGTCACTTCTCTTTTCTTTCATACGTGTCTTGGAAAGCCAGAAAAGAGCAGCACAGAGACAAAGAAATAATCACTCCTCCAGAAAATGGTAAGATATACTAGTCCTGCAAGTATATATATATATGTATGCTGTACTGTGAGTATCTTCAAAACTGATTTCATTCATAGACAAAGCCCAGGACAGCAACACAATATTCCTTTCTCTTCATAAATCTTGTTTTATAAGCTCTATTGCCCTTGTTTTTCATAGCAACTGGCAGCAGGGCACAGTAAAGGCCAGCCTTGTGCAGGTGACAGGGTGATAGATCAGTGTCTTCTGCAAAAGCACTGCCTTTGGAAGTTCAGTTGCACCCAAGGCCTGTGCAGTTGCTCTGTCAGACCTGCAGCAACTCCCTGAATTATTTACATGGGAGTTGCAGGTGTCCTCATCATCCCCAAATCTTAAGTGTTTGTTTACGTGCCACTATGGGCAGAAATTCATGCTATCTTTCCTCTGCTGAAGTCTCATCTACAGTCTAGACCTCAGCTTAGGAAAGCCCATAACTGGATACCAATGGGTCCAAAGACATACCAAGCTTTAGGCACCATGGCTTTAAAATCACGATTTAGAAAAATTAAATTCTTAGCTGAATAATAATGTGGACAGTACTTCATTGTTGCAAACACAGCTTAACAGGTAAGGCTCAATACATATTCCTGAGGAAGAGATGATCTGAAACAGAAGGTAATAGTGGAGCCACCACGGTAAGTCTTAATGCTTTAGGATGGGAGGTAAGGCTGCTGCTGCTGTTGAAAAGCAGGAAAAGCTGAAAGGTAGACATAATTATCCTGGAATTTAGTCACATTAAAAAGCGCGCATTTTAAGATTTAAATCATCAGGATCTTTGTCTACACCATTGGCACCCGAGTGACACCCTCGTGTCCTTGCTCCTGAGTTCAGCAGGGCAGGAACTGGGCACCACCTTGTAGGGCCATCTCCCAGTCGGGTACCCCAGCTCTCTGTGCTGGGCTCCCACTGGAGTGGTGGGGAAGACCCTTTCTTTGGGGCTTTCCTCTGTGGAGTATGGGTGTTACCCACCCAGGT